ATTCCTTTAAGAATATCTGCTAGTCACAAAGCTATCTAAGAAAACCTCGCCGATTGGATCAAATCACAAACTTTCCAGTATTCCCAGTATTCCCGTGTAGCAACCATAGAGACTGTTATTTGCATCAGAAGTCTTTTTTGCAGAAAAAAGAAACAAAGAGTCCCCGGTCAATGAGAAAAGAAAATGTAAAAACTTAATGTCAGCAGAAGTATAATCAAGGAGCTTTATGTATGTAGTTAAACTTTAAGATGGAAAATAGACTAGATATAAATAGATGCTGCAATAGCTTATTAGGTTGATTTCTCGAAAGAGAGAGGGGAGTGTAAACACAGAACATGAAGGTACTGCAGCAATAGCTCAGCTGATGGCCTCCTCTCAGAGGGTGTTACAGCTGAGTAGAAACAATAGGCCGGGTGTAAGTTCTCTGGAGAGAAAAAGCAGAGAGAACGTAATGTTCATAGCAGGAATACCTACATATAAACAACAATTGAAGACAAATTATATCCAATTTTATCCCTGGCAGGAAGCACAATTTCTTTATTTTAACAGTAAATATTTTTTTGTCATATGTTCTGTTAATTTGTTTCTGTGTGAATATATATCTTCTGAGCTGTCTTTGTGATACCTGACACATACTCTCTTACAGGTCTTTATTTAGGGCTTGCTATATTAAGCCCTTTCCCATTGAAATACAGCACCAGCTGTACTGGCTGTGTGTTATGGCTACTGTTGCAACAGGACTGGACTGTTCCCTCTCTTCCTGCTCGGCTGTTTTTTTCCTCTCCTATGCAGACAGATCCAATTCAATTAACCCTAATATTCATGCCATCCATTTGTGCTGAAATACATGCACTTTAATGGGACAAAGGGGGGTGTTTGGAATGATAGGTGTTCTTCTAATTCCAACTTATAAGTGGTTATTTCCCCTTGGATATCTAAAATTATGTTAAGAATCTCTTGCTAATGGTTATGGGCTTTTTCTGGTTTGATTTTTTTTAATATATATATCTTCTAAATAGATATGTTTCATATCTTCTAAAAATATATCTAATATCTAATGAAAATGTATGAAATACCTAAAAAAATTCTCTGATTATCTGTAATACTCAACCAATTAACACGGATTTTCTTCTTTCTTTATTTAGAAACACGTCGTGCAGAGCTTAGATGGACTTGGTCCTGAATAGCGACTCACAACTGACCTGAAAGACTTGAGGGAAGCTGTCAAAGAAGAAATGGATGTGTTTGGTGGTGCACCCCGCTTCTTAGCCTACCCAAGACCTGTAGTGGTCCAAAGTGGGACTGATGCAGTTCTTAAGTGTCAGATAGGAGGCGATCCACGACCTGCTGTTATCTGGGAGCGAAACAACGAAAAGATTGACCCTCATGGACGATACAGGGTTTTTGAAGACGGGAATGTTTACAACCTTATCATTACAGCTGTTACTATCGAGGACAGTGGCCAATACATTTGCAAAGCTAAGAATAGCATCGGGGAAACATATGCAGCCGCCACCCTAAAGGTAGAGGGTGAGGCTCAGGAATTGGAGCTTAGAGAGGAAAATAAACCCCGTTTCCTCATTAAGCCTCTTTCAACTCGTGTTGGACGTGGGGAAGATGCTGTCTTCTCCTGCAAGCTTTGGGGAAACCCACGACCAGAAGTCGTCTGGGAAAAAGATGGCAGAAAACTCAACGAAATATTTGAGAGCACACATTTCAGTGTGGGCTACCAGGATGGAGGATGGTTTCAGCTTAAGATCTTTAAGACTCGAGCTCCGGACGGTGGGGTGTATACCTGTAAAGCTCGAAATGAGTTCGGGGAAGCACTTGCAGGAGCTGTGTTGCTTGTCGATGCAGGTCCTGGACATGAAGAAGAAGGAAACCGTAATGGCTACACCAATGGACATTGGAAAGGCCATCAAGGAAAACAAAGGATAGGTAGACAAGTGCCAACTCGGCTAAAGGATGACGGATTGACAAAATCTACTAAAGTAAAAATGTTTGCTGTGACTGAGGGGAAGCATGCCAAATTCCGATGCTTTGTTACTGGAAAACCCAAACCAGAGATAATCTGGAGAAAAGACGGTAGACTTATTCTCTCTGGAAGGCGTTACTTGTTATATGAAGACAGAGAGGGGTACTTCACACTCAAAGTTCTGTACTGCAAGCAAAAGGATAATGGAGTTTATGTCTGTGCTGCATCAAATACTGCAGGGCAAACCCTCAGTGCTGTACATCTCTCTGTCAAGGGTAAGTCAATATTTCTTTAAGTGATTTCATTCATTTGAAACCAAGACAAATAAAGCAAAGCAGTTTCTATTAAGTGTGGGTACAGCCAGGGATGTCTTCTTTAGCAAGGAAAGTGTGTGGAATGATATGTCTCAGATTTCTGTCCTTATGATTCTCGGATGATGTAAGTATGAGAAATAGATGCACTGAGGTCATTTACTGGAGTAAAGCCAAAGAGAGAAGGGATAAGTATAATATAAGAAGTCTTTTAAGGCTCATTGATAATATGATACATCAAATATCAAAATATCCTTTTTTAACCTTACAAAACCTACACATGGAAAGTTTAAATGCCTAGAATTTAATTGTAGATTTTAATCACCTGCTGGCAATATACAGCGCAGTCAGATTATTTAGAGTTCTTAAGGAATCAATAAAATATAAGAATGTAAGCTTAGTGAAGAAGAAAATATTGGGTTGGATTCAGCAACTTAAATGAGCAGAAAGTCTGCAAACATACTCAGCTCGTTAAAGTTCTATGGGTTGTTCTCCATGCGAGGTTAAAGGGAGTATTATGTTTCTCACATGGCCTAGGGAAGTCTAAACCACAGTATCAGTTTGAGATAGTAAATGGGTTCACATTGGGAACGTTATCTGTTTCTTCTAACAGCCACTTAGAATATATAAACATATTTACATCCAAAATGTTACAGAATACATATAAACATATTTTAAATAAATTTGAAACAGAAGGAATTTAATTGGTCTAAGAAAAAGAAATTATGAGCTTTACATACTGATGGCTAAATAAAGAGCAGATTCTGTTGTTTACAACTGTCTGGTACCATCTGATGGTGTCAGTTGCAAGCACTTTATTCTCTATCTAACACCTCAGTGTGTTTACTGCCTTCTCATTCCTTAACAATATAAGTTCCTTGTCTTTTACATTTCTTGTTTGCGTAGCTGGAAATCTGTCATAAAAAAAATGCTTCAATTACAGTGTTACTATAAAAACATAGCTGTGTTGTGAGATTACATTGGATTAAATTCTCTTGAGTAGAATCAGTTGCAAGAAAAATAAAAGAAATTATTTTGTTTACATGTACAGACATGCAATAGATATACAGATTATTTAATTTGTGAGGAGGAGTAACATCTAGTACAGGCGGCAAAGGGTATAAGAGGTGGCTTTCACTGGGTCCCTAGTAGAAGAATTAGCCAGCATTACCAGCACATAAAACTGTTTGATAGGGGTCTTATTTTGGGTTTACAAGAGGGGAGGCTGTCATTTGATGCAATATCCTAGCATGCTGATACACAAATAACTAAATGGTTTGACTAAAACACTTAGGCATCCGAAACAAAGGTTTGGTTTGAATATAATTTGGTGTAAATTTAGAGTAAATGTACAGTCATATGAAAACGTTTTGGCACCCCTATTAATCTTAATAATTTTATTTCTAAATATTTGGGTGTTTGCAACTGCTTTTTCAGTTTGATATATCTAATAACTGATGGACATAGTAATATTTCAGTATTGAACAGATGGCCGCTCACACTGAGCCTGGTTCTGCTGGAGGTTTCTTCCTGTTAAAAGGGAGTTTTTCCTCTCCACTGTCGCTACAAGCACGCTTAGTGTGAGGGATTGTATTTGAGTTAATGAGTCAATGCAATCAACTGGTTTTCCTTAGATAGAAAACTTTGTATCAATTTGACTGTATGATCTGGTTGAACTGTAAAGTGCCTTGAAATGACATGTGTTGTTGGCAGCAGCACAACTAATATTTTATTAGTTCTCTTCTGATATTTTTCTGGTATCACAGACAAACAGGAACAGACCAGATAAAAATAATATGAAGAGGAAAAAATAGAGTGAGCATGAAGTTAGAGGCTGGCCTAACGAATATTGCTGAATGATTGATATGTATATATGTATGTTTGGGCTACTCTATGAGCCTGGAACTCAACGCTACTCCAGATTTCTGACTATGACCTGGATGACTGAGAATCTTCACCAGTAGTACCTTCATAGGTTTACCTAAAAAGTCCATCAGACAGCTGCAGCTGATACAAAACGCTGCTGCCTGTGTTCTCACTACAACTAAGAAAGTAGAGCAAATCAGCCCAGTCCTTACACTGGTTCCATGTAGTTCAGAGAATAGACTTTAAAATCCTTCTGTTTGTATATCAATTACAGAAAAGATAAGCACCTTGATACAAAACAAAAATTTTTGTCAGTGGATCAACCTCCCAGACCATTCAGATTTTCTAGTCCAACCCCACTCTCTCTCCACCCAGAACTACAACCAAACATGGAGAAGCAGCATTTAGTTCAAATGCTATACTTATCTGTGAAACTCCTCCAGAAGAGTGTAAAAGTTCTGAAAGTATGAGTTTTTTTTTTTTTTAAGTCAAGTTAAAAACCCATTTGTTGAACAACTTTTGACTGTTAAAGTAGCTGCTAACTCAGGTACCCTTAGCCTAAGTTTGTGATATTTGTTTTACTACCTGCTCTTATCATGTTTCATAATTATTAGCTTGCATTCTGCTTTAATTTTTCCTCTTTTTAATGTATAATTCATGTAATACACATACATACTAGGGGTGGAACGGTTCACAAAATCCACGGTTCGGTTCGGTTCACGGTTTCATGGTCACAGTTTTTGGTTTGGTTCGGTATATATTGATTGTTACCCCGAAATCCAATAAAAATTTATGAAATTAATGAAAAAA